CTGACTGTAGTCAATAAGGAATAGGTATCCTTCCCAGCTGGTTGTCGACAAGTTCCCTGCAATCTCCATTGTGTTCCCCCCGCAATGCATCCAATGTCTGTATCTCAGTCAGGTCTATTAGATGGAACACTTTTCCTAGGATTTCCAAAAGTAACCTTGCTATTTCTGGGTTGGAGGAAAGCCACAAGAGGTAGACGGTACAAGGGAAGTAATTAATTTCACTGTTTGCTAGTGTCAGTGTCCTTCCTAGACGTTTGCAGTATCTTCCAGATTTGGTCTCTTGCTATTCCTGTACGAGCTCATTGGACCTGGCGGTCAGTGGGATTTAGTCTGCCTCGTCCTTCCTGCGGTCACAGGGCAAGGTCCCTGGAGAGCAATAGATCCCCAAGCATCAGCCGATGCAGCTGTCGAGCATCGCGTTTACACATAGTCCTAAGGAGACTGCAGGGTTTTTGGGTGCCCTCCAAGCTGTGAGTGCAGCTGTGTTTATTAAATCAACACCTGTAAGCCAGCGGCTTAGCGCAGAGACTAAGCAACAACAGGCAGGCAGTTCTTGTGTGGGTAGCGTCTCCCCAGGGGCATGCTTTACACTGAAATTCATTAGATGAGTGGAAAATCTAATGCTCTGAGTATCCTATTAGGGACAGCTGTGTGCACAAACAAAATAATACCTGACTGTAGGTGGGTGCAGGGCTGCATGTGCTTGTGTGGGCACACGTATATATGTGCATATAGGGTTTGCAGGCATTGTATGGGCAATCGTATAGTGAGTGTATATGTGTGAAACTTGCTTCCATCCTTAAGCGCGTCAATAATGTGGCTAATTGAAAGGCTCTGGAACATAGCTTCCCTATTACTCGCAAAATTCATGGCTTGAGACCTTGAGGTGTGCAGCTACATAGCCAATCTGCTGTTCTCAGACTTACAAAAAATTAAAAATATTATCTCTGTTCTCAGTCTGGGCATCTCTCCGGGCTGAGAATTCAACACTGTTTCTTTCTTGTGTAGGATATCTCCAGGCCTCGGCCACCCCAGAGAGCTTTGCCAGCTAATCCTGTCCCAGCCAGACCCCGAGTCTGGCCGGGGAGCAGCCCCCCTATCTCGCTGCCTCCTGCGCACGCCAGAAACACAGGACAACTCCAGCCTGCGGCAGAGGTAGGCACTGAGTGTGATGATGGGAAGCACAGCAGCATCCCCTTATTACTGGGGAACAAAACTGCTCTGAAGGGAGTAACCTTGCCATCAGACTGCAAACACCTTTGTGCACAGCCTGGGTGGGTGGAAATGAAAGGCTGTTGGGTTGGTTGCCTTTATTGGAGGGGCCTCTCTTTTTATCTGTTCCTTATTAAGCATTTACTTACTGGGTTAAGCAAAGCAGCTAATTCAGTCCTCCACATCCATGAGAGCTTCCTCAGATAAAACATTTGTGTGAGTGGGGCTGAGCAGTGAGGGTATGTGTGACCCAGAATGGTTAGCAACAAGCAGCAAAGCAGCAAGGCCCACACAAGACTTGAAGACCCCAGTAAGGAACAGAAAACCCCTCTAGGAGATGCTTCTTCTGCAGGGATGTTTCCCAAAATTGTCCTTGAGAAGGACCATGAGTAACAGACTGAGTTGCTGAGCTCAGCTCCCTGTGAGCTGGACCCCTTAACACAAAACACCTCCATTCCACACACCAGAGGTGCTGTCTCCAGCTGACAACATACTTGAGGTTACCTGTGAAAAATGTTAAAAAAAGGCATTAACTTCATTGTGATCCTGGTGGGAGAGTTTCCTGCATGATGCATTAGGGTGTGAATGCATGTGGACAGAGACAGGCTTCCCCCAGCCCACTGTAACATCAGCTCCAGGAGGAGGAGAGGGCAGCGTTTGCTCCTCCATCAGTGCTCACCCCTCTTTTCTCCATTTTCCATCTCACCCAGAATGGTGTCGGGATGGCTGGGGCAGTGAATGTCTCGAAAGCAGGACAGCCGGGCTCCCGTGGACACTCATGAAGCAGCCTGTTCCTGGCTGGCTCTGACCTTCAGAGGGGACTGGATAGCCTTCATCACCCAAAAACCCACTCCCAGCCACAGACAGTGTCTCAGCTCCTCTCCCCTCGCCTCACCTCTTTCCTATGTGTCTCAGCAAGCTGTGGTCAGCCAGGCTCGGCAGGGATGCCCCCAGGAACCGCGCCGGTACATGCCACGCTGAACTCAACCTTCTCTGCTGATAGCCTATTCCATAGAGGGGTGACTTGTTTATACGGTATTTAAATATTATTGTGCAATATCCAATGCAGGGATGGGGTGATGGGGACTTCACATGTTTTTAATCAGTTATTTAAGTGTTATCAGGGAGAAGAAGCTGCGAGTGCAGGTGCTGGCCCTGATGGGCTTTCACGTAAAACCCAGCCCTGTTGGCTTCCTCGGCCCATGCACGCAGCTGCAGGAGCATACCTTGGTGCTATACAGAAACCACTGCCTCTTGGGAGAGCAGAAGGCAGCCGTTGATAACTTTCTTCAGCTTATTCTCAGTTTACAGTGGGTGGCAAGTGGGGCCACAACAGGGAGCAAACCATGGAAATATTCCTGGGTAAAATAATTTGTGGGTCACCATGGATTTTGATTAGCTTTAACAGAGCAGATTAATTATTTTTCCCTTATAAGCATCTTCAGCAAGAGCGTTGCAACCTGTCTGTCCTCCAGCACTCACCTCAGTATCTTGCCTCAGTGCTGTAAGACCCGACAGCGTCCCCAGCGTCACCCGTGCGTTCCCATCTGTGTCATTGGGACACAGTCAAGGTACGACAGGGAAAAACTCTCTGGCCACGATAACAGAGCAAGTGGCCAGAAGGAAGCTCAGCACAAGCCAGTGCTGAAACTTCCTCTCCAGCATACGGTACCGTGGATAATCAGTAGACACTTGCACGTGTCTCCTCAGGCTTTGGTCCGTGCCGAGCAGTAATTTAGCATGGGCTGTCTGCTCCCCATACCAGTGAGAAACCTACCTTAAAATTGTGCAGGTGGTAAAACAGCAGAAATATTAACCTGACACATGGTGCTTTTGTAGGGCAGCTCATTCACTCCACGTTTTTTCTCCAGGACGTAGATGGAGAGAGCTGTCTGTGTACTTTAAGCAGCTGATGGTTCTGACCCTGAGGACCCTCCCTTAAGAATTTGATTTTGTTTTTCTTTCTCCTAACAGTTTGGGCTTTTGTACATTTTTTTCTCAGGATTTTAAATTAAGACCTTTTGTTATGCCAATTTTTCTCTTTTTTTCCTTGAAATGATTTCCTAGGAGAACACAGGGAATTCTGGAGCTATGGTTACAACAGTTCTCTTGTGTCCCATCTATTATGGACAAATCCTCAGTCTGATTGCTGTTACACATATGAGAAACTGTATTATTTGGCATGAAGTAAAAAAGTCTTGCCTGATGGTTTTCTTTCCCGAAGCTCTACTGATTTGAAAAAAAAAAAAAAACAAACAGATAAACCCTGAGCACTCATTAAATTTGTAGTTATATGTAGCGGTATAGCTGTAGGATGACTTAAACCACTGTAGTTTTTGCAACTTTACTACCTCTTTCTCCACGAGAAAACAGTACACAGGGTGTGTCTTGAATTTCTGGTTGATTATTCCTTATCTTGATCATTTTGGACCTTTTCTTAGCTTCTGTATGCCTGTAAAACAAACCAACCTGAAATACTTCTCTCTGAAATAAGAGATGGCAAGTGAAAGACATCAGCTTTCTAATCTTTACACATCTTTTCCTATAGTTGGATTATATTACCTATGAACAATTTATATTCAAACAACCCCCAAATCTGCTCTTTCCTGGGGTGCAGCGAATGTGCCTATGTCAGGGCCTGTTTTGCTGCTTACGGGTGGAGCAGAGCTGGGCATGTACTGTACGTACACTGTCGTGGTACAGATTCAACCACAAGAACTTGATCTTGTATCTGAGCCCTCGCTGAAGACAGTGGCATACTTCTGCTACAGCCCCTGATCTTTGTCAAACGGCCATCAAAAAGCAGTAAGAATATTTTCACTGCATTTCATGTGAACATGGGATCAACCTTTTAAAAAACTCCCCCCCCCGCCCCAACACAAAAAACTCAGAGAATTACTGGATGTGCCCAAACCCTAATGGAAAACTTCATTGCTGAAGTCTCAAAAAGGTAGTGTTAATTAATTTAAAATTTTCCTATGTGTGCAAATTGAGTGAATGATAATAGGGGAACTGCAGGAGGATTAAAAGATGGTAAAACCTGAATTCTTTGCAAGATAATGTTACTTGGGAGAACATACCCCAAAATACATCTCACTTTCTCCTGTGTCCATGTATTAATGGTTTACAATAATGCTCTCTGTGTATCTATGCAAATACTTGAAGAATGCAATTCATTGTGCCTTTTGCCTAGTTTTAATAAATTTGTCAGTTGTCATTAACAAATATTCGGTCACTGTGTGGTATTTTGTTACCTTGGTTCAAATCTCCATTTTATAGGTGGCATTTGCCCACAGATGGCAGGAGAGCTGGAGGAATGGCTTTTATGAAATGCAGTTCTAGGCAGTGAGAAGGATGAGTCCCCTTCACAATTTATTTCTAAAATAAAATGCATAAAGCATTACACAAAATAGGACACCAAAACCAAAGCTAGAGTGAATTGCTTGGATTATTTTCTGCTACCAAAGGAGGTCGCTGCTGTTTTACTCTCTGCCCCAGCTGCTCTCCCTGCTGTACTGACCCATCCTTCAGCCTGTTTATCCTTTAGGGCTGCGCCAATAAGACCAGAGAAAACATGAAAAACTTTCAGATCCACCTGCAAAGGGTTATTTTAGAAAAAGCCTTTATTTCCCTCTCCACAACCCAAAAGAAAGTACTGAAATGTTATTAAAATAAGAGATTGCATATTCCTCTTACACCCCAAACCTCAAGATGTGTTTGTTCAGTGACACTCAAACCCAGGTACAACCAGGTCAGTATCTCGGACAGCATCAGTGTGTGCCATGGTCCAGGGCTAACCAGCTCTGTTCCTTGTTTGGTGTTTGCTGTGAGCAAATGGGCTGCAGTCTCCCTGTGCTGTAAGACCCAGCAGCAAGATGGGGGAAACTTTCTGATGATGGCAATACCTTCCTTTTTCACCTTCCAGTTCATACTGTTACTTCTCATTCCTTCATCTTCACCACTGATACAAATCCAAGGGGGTTTTGAAGGTGAGCCATGAGCAAGAGTCCAGGTAACATCCATACTATGTTGACAGAGATGGAGAGGGGTGAACAGGACCACTCTGGGATAAACCACATCCCTACACCTCTGCAGAGCATCACACACTTATGCCTGTTTGGCTTTTAACAAGCAGCTCCTACCTCCTCTTAAACAACAACAAAAGAGCTTTCGGGCTTAAATGATAGTAGGACAACTCATGGGCTCAAAGAGCTGGGGGGCTCTCCAAGGTCAAGGCACTTGCTAAGAAAAAACCCCAAATTTACAGCCACTCATTCTTTCAGGCTGAAAAGATTTTCACAGACCACAAAAAGTCTTGAAGACTGTGGCAGTGTTTCTCCTGACACAGGGTTTACCCTGCCAGAGCTTCCCAGCCTGAGCGGGGGCTGCCTCTTGCTTGGGTGAGGTCTGGCTCAGGTTCAGTGGCTTCACCAACCACATCAACATGGCCTGGGTACCACATCTGCTAAGGGAAAAAAATCCCCAAACAAAAACCCACATAAAATTAATTAACCCTGTGCTGCAGGGAAACTCCTGCACCTGACAAAGAACAAAAGCTGAAAAAGACTTCTCTGCCACAGCCCTGTAAAAACACTTTATATCTTGGGTCCTGCCACTGAGCCTAGGTGAGTGCCTGTTCCAAAATTCGCTGTGTTTTGCCCGTATTCACCAATATTCTTGTCCTATGTTTGCCGAGCAAGTAATTTAACATGGATGAGCAGAGTCTGAATAGCAGGCGTACACCATTCAATCCTTGTCTCTCGCTTCCATTTGAGATACTGGTTTGTAGTTTAGCGTTCATGCAAGTGTCTAGAATGGGAAAAAAAAAAAGACAAAAACAATAATCAATGACTCAGTCAGGGCTTGGAAATAAATATATCAATGGCCACCCAGGGAAAGGAGTGCAAGAGTAAATGTTAACCCTGCCAAGAATAAGGGATGGGAAGGGGCCTCAGAGAGGAGCTTTGTCCCAGGAGTGCTGTGTTTCAAGAGGATTTTAATTTCCCGTGGCTGCATGTATTAAAGCCTAGTGAGGATTAAACATACCCCTTGCTGCCACACCATGAGAAAGATCCAATCCAAAAGCCCAGAGAAAGATTTGGCTTGACTCTACCAAGCTTTGGATAAGACACTGTTGGTTTTATTTTCTGCTTTTCTTTTTTTTTAAATTGCTCCCTAGCATCGGGAATATTGACCTCAACCCATTCACCCAACCTCCAGACCCTCGCATGTAACATGCTAGGTGTAGATCGTGAATACTTTGGGTTTATCCTCTGGGGCGATGCTGGCATTGTCCACCTCTATCAGGATGTTCTTGTCATCTCGGGTGACTGGCGCTTGCTGGCCACTCTGGAGGACTTGTGGTAGATTCCCTAAACTGACGTCCATATCTTTGAAGGCATGGAGTAAAAACACCCCCAAAATGATGGTGAGGAAGCCACAAACTGTCCCAATGATGTCCACTACAGTCATGGTGACCCACTCCTTAAAGAGAATGATGGAAGTTGTGATGACGATGGTGGTGAACAGCACATAGTAGATGGGAAACACCAAAGAGGTGTTGAAAATGTCTAGAGACTTATTGAGGTAGTTGATTTGTGTAGTGATGGATGCCACCAGTGTGATGAGTAGGATCCACGTCAATGGGTGCTGCAGCACAGGCCGGCCAGCAAAGAAGCCCTTGATGGCAATACCCAGGCCCTTGACTGAGGACACCGAGAAGGCACCAATAACGGAGCAGATGGTGAGGTAGATGAGGATGTTGCTCTGGCCATAGCGGGGTGCGAGGTAGAAGATCAGGAGGAAGCAGACAGCCAAGAGGATCACAGCATAAGCGAGGAAACCTGGAAAGAGGGAGAGAAATCACTCAAAACTGAGTGGCAGGGATGGGGGACAGAGCAGTACACACTGCCCAGCCCCAAGAGAGAAAACAGAACCTCCTGTGTACCTGGCTCTTTCAGCTTAGACGACATTTCATCCAGAGTGGTCACCTCCTCGTCCTCTGGGGCATGTATCACCATCACGGTGCTGCCCACGAGGCTCAGCATGCAGCCCAGCTTTCCCAGCAGATTGAGCCGTTCTCCAAGCAAATACGAAGACAGGATGGCACTGCACAGGGCAGAAAAATGTCAGCTAGTGCTTTAAAGTCCTTTAAAGAAGGAATAGCAGCTAAAATAAGGTAAAGAATGCCTTCATGTGAGACGAGGACACAATTCTGGAGTAAACTTGTTGGATTCCAGTGTGTTAATACAGAATCTCATTGCATCTACTGACAGCTGAACCTGCAGAGATACAGGTGTGGTCTGCAGAACACAGCTCAGCTATCAGCAAGGTGGAAAAATGCTAAGTGTGTTAGCAAATCTTCAGAAATATTTTCAAGGTCTCCAGATTCATTCATGAGCTGTTGGGCATTAGGAAGCCTTTAGTGCCCATGGAAATGACTTCAAGGACCAGTCTGACAGAGAAAAAAAATCAACCTAACAACAAAAGAGTTACATTAATTTTAACTAAATCATCAGAAGTGCTAAGCCCCAGAGAAACTCTGAAGGCACCGGGGCTATAGATATAGCCGCAAAAATACCTAGTTGTTGTCCATAAAAATCTGGGGCAAGACACTAGAGCAGTCCCAATCCTCACTTTGCTTATGCATTTCGCAATAACAGACCTTTTATAAAACCTTCAGTTCCTGGAGTCATGTATTTTGATATGAATCTCCTTTTCAAAAAGAAAAAAAAAATAGGGTTTCAGCCCTTTTGGCAGCAGACAAAAGCATAAAACCACAACATCAGAGCACCCTAAAAGCCTGGAAAATAAAAGGCAAATGAAAGACAGTTTAAAAACAAGCCTGATATTTTTGACCCTTGTAGATTTTTAGTACTGTTTACTGCAAAACCAAAACAAAACAAAAAACCCAACCTTGAATTGGCTGAAGAGCTGGAATAAGGAAGGAAGTTAACCCTAATATTTGCAATAATTTAACCTGAAGTGTACGTTGCTGCTATCCACATTTCCAGAAGGGCACACTACTTAATTCGGTGGTTTCCAAATGATCCCCCAAAAGGACAACAACCGTTAGAGCGTTTTTTAGAAAACACTGAGACATTTTTAGCTTTTGGCAGAATAAAGCATATTAGTGTCACTTCAAGTCTTTCTATCTTATGAGACAAACAGGCAAGTAAAAAGAAGGCACATGGCAAACTATAGACACCTAAATCACCTTATGAGCACGCTGAGAGCCCCCAGTGGCGTGACAATAGTTGCAGGAGCAAAGGCATAGGCAGCAAAGTTGGCAGCTTCTCCTCCACCCACTAAATAAACACAAGAAAAAACAAATACCAGTGAGTTACAGTATACTTTTTGTGTTTTCTCTTGTGGGCTTGCAAACTAGTAAGATGTCAGTTAGAGAGTGGGTTTTATTATGGGAGTTTCATGCTGCTTCTAAACAGGGCCAGATAGTGGGTGAAAATCTATTACAAATTAATGCAAGCAGTGAAGGCATCCCTGGAGCCCTGCACCCATATGGAGACGGGCTGGGAGTGTCTGGGCTTGGCCATGCCACAGCTGACCCACATTAACTCAATAAACCCCCACAGCCCAGCCAGGCAGCTGCAGTGTGGCTGGGTAATTAATGAGGGGGTGGGCAGTTGTGGGAGCCCCAGTGCTGGGAGGCTGCTCTTCACCTCCAAAGCATTTCCTTGGGGCTGTGGTATCACCCTCTGGCTGTGCTGTTCTTGTCCCATGAGCTGTGAGTATTGCGTGCTTGCTTAGGGGTCGTGCTACGGTGGCTGTGCAGCAGGAGCTGCGAGGGCAGAGCAAGGTGGGGGCACCCTGAGCTGCTGCTGCAGCAGAGAGAGCCAGAAAAGACTGCTCTGGAAAACCCTCCTGTGTAAATCTGCTCTCTGCACAGCTATGAGTCCAATTTGAGAAGATACAGTAATGATGCAGCATTAAAAAAAGGATTTAAGGCTTACTTGAAGGGAAGACACGTTTTGCTCAAGAAAGGGGCTGCTACCAACACCTCCTTGTCACCCCCCTTGTGCTTCAGCAGCAACCTTTCCTGGAGTCCCCAGGCACGCATGGGAGGCTCTTTGCCCTGTGCCTGGTAAGCAGGCGGACCAGCCAGCTGCATTATTAAAACCTGTTTTTTTGTGCTTTTTGATGGGGTGAAACTGAGCTAGCAAGTCCTACCAGCCCTGCAGGAGGATGGTGAGGGAGATCCTGCATGGCTCACTGCCTCTGCTCTCCTTGAGGTACCTCTGCTGAGGGTGGGGGAATTTGCCAGAAAAAAGGCTTTAAGCTACTAGGTGCTGGGCCAGTTCCACACCTGATTCACAGGGACAGACCTTGGAAAAGCTGCAAACCCAGGGAAATGGCTTCTACTTACTGGTTAACAAGCCAGCCCACCAGAGCCAGTCCTTTAGGTAGCCATGGCCTCCATCTCCTGGGGAAGGAAAGCACACAAGTATGCAGGAGTTAACAGCCATGTTCTTCAGAGCGAGAGATGAGAAATGGCCCTTTGGAGAGGGTTAAGTTGCAATGGGAAGAGTGTGACAAAGAAAACAGCCTGGAAGGACAGAGTATGCAGACATGCCATCCTACCTGGAAACAATGTTGAGTCAAGGGATTAGTGGAAGCTGGCGCTTAAGGCTGGGCAACACAAATACATAAAAAACCCTGGTTTAATCCTGGGTGGCAAAGGGAATGGCACCCATTGCCCCAAAGCTATGGAGGTTACTGGCCTGGGGTGCACCGTTGTTGGTTCATCAGGGTACACTGGCCCCTAAACCCAGCAATAAACATCCCAGCTGAGCTCCCATGGACCGGTCATGTCTCGTCTTGTGTGTTCCACTTGCGTGTTCCCTGTGGGGTGTTCCTGGAGCAGAGGGACAAAGGATGGCAGGGGCTGCTCTGAGCTGCATGTCCCCCACCCAAAGGCTGCTCCCTGGGACACTGCCAGCCTGAGTCCTGCCCGTGGGGAGCCTGCGCTTCACCTCCCATCGCACCAGCTCGCTGTGGAGTCTTGCGTGTGGGCTCTAAGGTAAGGCAATGAGATTTTCCAAACCCAGCTCCAGTGGGGGTTATAGCTATGAAGGATGAAGAGGGGAAAAACTGGTCGGTTGCTCTGTGTGGGCACGTGGTGCCATAGTTTGTGTTTCTGTACGGTTGTGTTGAAGGCTCCCTGAGTCCTGTCCCACAAGCTTTCTGCTGCTTCTGTATGTTGCTTTGTATCACAGTGGTATCATAGCCTGAACTGCCAGAAATCCGGTATTAACTTCATGTGGAGTCTCATTATGACACTGAGTGTTTCTGATGAAAAATGATTCCTGATGTTGGAATAACTAAATTAAAGAAAATATGCATATAAATGAGAAAGAATGGATATGCTGTGTTGGGAACTAATCCAGCTCTGGTCTTAACCCCCAAGCTGTTAGTCGTAAGCAGCTTGAGCCTGCTGACATTGTGAACCCTGATTTTGCTGGGTCAGAAAGAGCCCGTGTTTTGGATAAGCCTGACCTGCCTGGAGCTGTCAGCTACAGCAGTGTTTGACCTGCCTTGGAGAAAAGCGATGTGCTTGTGTAGCAGGGGTGAAACACGGGGACTGAGAGCTGAAAGGAGGAATGAAGAGGTGGACAGGAAGAGTTCAGGATATGTGGAAAAATCTTTTGCTAGAATTCAGCCTCTTCTGGTTCTTCAACAAGTTCACAAATGCTGAAGTTCAAATGTTATGCTTTGGTATTCCATAGAAATTGCCGGTTTGTTTGTTTATGTGTGGTGTGGGTTTTGTTTTGTGTTTTTTCTCAAGAACTGTTTTTGTCAGCTGCAGTTTGTTATTAATCTCTAATTCCTGGTTTAACATCTTGAAAAATAGGGAGGAGTTTGCTCTTGTTTTAGTTGCCTGGCTCTGTTCTGGGAGGAGTTCATGGAGGGAAGTAGGAGACAGACATCTTCTACAGTTGAGCCAATACTGACATCTCATTGTGCAAAAATAATGCCAAAAAGCAAAAGAGTTCAGCAGTTGCATGTGGCCAGCCTAATGGCAGAGGATGGAGATGGACTCGAGACTGGGCTGTGGCTTGGGTGCTGTTGGTAGCTTTGCTGGTTGACTCTGGACATCCACTTCACGTTCCATGTCTCTGTGTCCCCATACAGGGGCACAGTAAAATGGGGATAGTGATATTTACTTCCTTTTTAAAATGATTTAAGAATTGTTCCTAGGCCAGAACTGGGAAGCAGTAGTATTTTAATTATCATTATTTTGTTTTGTAGTTATGCAAGTAGGTCAGCTGCCAGGTAGGACTTAGGCTGCTGCTAGAGCTCATGTTTGCAATGCTGATGGGATGCGTCCAATTCCACAGTGCAATTCTGCTGCAGGCAGTGCTCCTCCACCATTTCCCATCCATAGATATGTGCACATAAACACACGCCTCACCATAAGAGCTTGGTGCTGGAGGAAAGTTATCTACACATTGTTGAGCAACATAGCTCAGAAGTATCCTTTCCAAAAACCACAAGCAGAGTTCATACAGATCGCAGGCATGCAGTCCCGCATTAATAAATGGCTCCTGCTAATGCAATTAAAGCACATGGGGCCGCATCCTTATCTCAGTGACTTAGTGGCAAAGCTGCCTAGTGCATCAGTGCAAGCAAGGTCATGGAGCTGTGCTGTTCTGCTCTGGTCTGTGGCAGGGTGATGACTTGCACCTTTGTGCAGAGGGGCCCATTTCAAAGAGCTTTCAACACTCTGCTTCCTCCTGGCCTCACGCTTTCCCATGTAAGAGCTGTGATGGGCATGCATTGTTCTTCTGGTGGGTGCACATCTGATCACGCAGTGCATGTGACTTGCTATTTGCAGTCCAAGGCAAGGGAATGCTGCTCTTAGCTGAGCCTTTCCAGCACAGGGCTTTGTAAATTAGCTCCTCGGCTCTAGCACAGCACTGCACACAAAAATGCATCCACAAAGGTCTTATTTCCATTGCTGAGGGAAGGCTGATGCATACCCAGAGGTGTTCCCTTGCCTTATGAGTGCTGGAGTTTGGATGATGCATGTGGCCTGGGCACAGTTGGACGTCCTCCCTCCTGCCCCCCCACAAAGGCCTTACCTGCTCTGGTGCCTCCCTTCTCCACCAGCCGTAGCAGCCCCTTCTTCTTGAGGATGATGCTGCTTCCGATGAGGAAGCTGGAGAAGACAGCCAAGCCCCGGCCAATG